TGAAACGTCTGCAAGAAAACCACCAAGCTCAGAGAGCACCAAGGACCACTCGTTCTAAGGTTTTAAATTCTTGTGGTGCTATTTTACGATGTTGCAAGCCGCCCGGAGTCGCTCCATAGTTAAAACTGGCATCCTATAATCAATAATATAATATGAATAAAGAAAATGAATAGCAATATGAAAAACGCTGGTTGTTTCGTGCAACACGGAGAGAGAAGGAGAAACTGAGACAGGAGGCCAGTGGAACAAGAGAACAGGAAAACGTTTAATGACCAAAAAAGGACCTTACAGGGACATTCCATTCCAGCAAGAAACAACAGGGAGACTCCAAAGGACCTCCAAAAACGCTCCTCACTCATTAGGATTGCTGCAAATGGTTACCCTTTCCAATAAAACACAGCCAGCCAACCTTTCCTTAGGGAGGAACGGCCATGGAGCTGAACAGAAGAACAGAAACGGGCCTTTCAGTTCAGGAGACCTGGAGAAGAGAGAAAAAGGCAAGCTTAAAAAAAAATCGCCATAGAAGAAATTGTCCTTCTCTGCAAGCCCAAAACAATTTGGTGGGTTGGTGATAAGCCCATCCAAGAGGGACTGCAGTGGCTCAGGGGCTAAGACGCTGAGCTGGTTGATCAGAAAGGTCAGCAGTTTGGCGGTTCGAATCCCTAGCGCCGCATAACGGAGTGAGCTCCCGTTCGCTTGTTCAGCTTCTGCCAATCTAGCAGTTGGAAAACACATGAAAATGCAAGTAGAAAAATAGGGACCCCTTTGGTGGGAAGGTGCGCCTTCAGTGTTTAGTCCTGCCGGCCACATGACCACGGAGACGTCTTCGGACAGCAATGGCTCTTCGGCTTTGCAACGGAGATGTGCCAACGCCCCCTTATAGTTGAAAACGACTAGAACGTACGTGCCAGGGGAACCTTGACCTTAATCCCATCAAAATTCAGGGCACTTGGCAACTTAACGATGGCAATGATTCACTTAACAACCGGGACAAGGTCGCAAAATGGTGCAAATCCCACTTCCAGGGCTCCATGAACAGAAATTTGGGGTTTGATTGTGGTCATAGGCTGAGGGGCTATTCTGTATTGTCCAATTTCTCCCCCCCACCCCGGTATTCCTTTCTCAAAACAAGACCACCAAACTAGGGTGCGAGATGGCAAGCAATTCGAAACACGTACCCAGGTAGTCGTCCATCAGGGATCCAATGGCAAACTGCAAAGAGAGAGAGAGAGGAAGAGAAAGAAAGAGATAGAAAGAGAATGAAAGAGAGGATGGAAGGAAGGATGGAAGGAAGGCAGGCAAGCAGGAAAGAAGGGAGGGAGGGAGGGAGGGAGGGAAGGAAGGAAGGAAGGAAGGAAAGGTTAAAACTAGTAAAGTGGCCCCATATTATCCCCAATTTTCACAGCAAGAATTTTTCCCTTTCTCACAAACACCCCAAAGACCAACACATATAGTTTTTTCCATGCAAATAGGAAATTGCCTGAACTACTGGAAATTGGAAATCGACCCAATCCTCCTCCTTTCCTCAGGGAGATCAAAACAGAGAAGATCTGGATGGTCAGATTCAGCAGCTATTAACCCTCCAGGTCTTGTTCCCAGCTCCAGCAGTGTATTTGTGGGTGAAACAGGCAGTGTAAAAATTTGATAAAACAAATCAGAATAATTGTCTAAAAAAAGCACGCGGCTCAGTTGTGGCTTGAGCAAAACAGGCCAGAATCCAATTGGTTGTACGAACAGCCTGCACCAGAGGAGGTATTCAGCCGGTTCTGGAGAAAAAGTATTGGAAATTTTGAGTAGTTCGGAGAACCGGCCAATGCCACCTCTGACTGGCCCCGCCCCATCTAGTCTCCGCCTCCCAAGTCCCAGCTGATTGGCTGGGTCTTCTTTGGTTGCCTTGCCCAGGAGAACGGAGCTGGAAAGCAGGTTAGTGGGGTGGGGCAAGGAACGGGGACACACCCACCAAGCCAAGCCACGCCCACAGTCAAAACTTTTGAATCCCATCACTGGCCTGCACCTCAAAACCCTAAGATCCTTTGAAATTAAAAATTGGAAGAGGATTTATCTGAACTTCCAATTCTTCCTGAACTGCCATTTTTAAGCCAGAGGAAGTAATTTTAATAAAGAGAAAGTAATATTGGCCAGAACTGTTTCTTTCCACGTTTTCTTGGCGGATTTTCCCCAGCAGATGTTATGCATCAATAATTTAATTCTCCGTCTGCGTGGGATACGAAGGAGGACGAATTAACAGGAGGGACACCCCCCCACCCACCCCAAACAGCCAAAATAAGACTGAGAAAGGGCCAAGGTTCGAATGACGAAACTCACTATATCATTCTTGTCCACCCGGGTCCCCACAATCTTCAGTCGGATATTATCTTCTGGCTGGATAACAATGTCCTGGTTTAGGAGGGGAGAAAAGCAGAGGGAACACTAGCAAGACAATAAGAACTAACGGAGTACAGTGGTCAGGACAGTGTTTCCTAACCACACTTTAAGATGGGTGGACTTCGACTCCCAGAATTCCTCAGCCAGCATGCTTTAAGATGGATGGACTTCAACTCCCAGAATCCCCCACCCAGCATGCTTTAAAATGGGTGGACTTCGAGTCCCACAATTCCTCAGCTAGCATGCTTGAAGATGGGTGGACTTCAAGTCCCATAATCCCCCAGCCATCATCTTTTAAAATGGATGGACTTCGACTCCCAGAATCCCCCAGCCAGCAGGCTTTAAG